CTGTCCATAGCGTTCCTTGACAGTGTCGTTTCTAAGTCACCAATTTAGTGCTACTTGGTCCCAATAGAATTTCCCATTGGGAACCTACTAGCACTAAGTTGCTAACTGGTTAGCAAGATGCTTCCAACAAACCGGCCACAATCAAAGTTGCTTCAATCCTGCCCCCTTGATAAACGACCAATCACATTCACTTTATTCAGCCGTGTAAAGTCGTGTATCTCTGCACTCAGGAGAATTCGGAAATTCAACGGTTGGAACGGCTGTTTCTCTACAACTTTAAGACATAAATTACCCATAGTTTCTTTGGTTTGATTGAAATTGGCTACATCAGGGAGTGCAGGAGGGGCAGAGGTTAGCACGCGCAACCCATGTACAGAGGCCTTAGTCCTAGAGGCGGCCAAATGGGTTTGAATCTGACCTGCGGTCCTTTGCCGCATGTCTTCCTCTCTCTCTCATAACCCCTTTCCTGTCAGCCTACTGTAGAAAAAACGAGCCACTAGTGCCGCAAAAACAAAAGAAAAACCTCAAAAAAAAGAAGAAGAAGAAAAAAAAAGAATTTTGCTACATCAGGCCTTATTGGAATTAATATTAGTGAAATAAATGTTTAGTGTTAGGTATGTAAATGTCGATCTTATTGATGCTGCTGTTAGTTTTAGGACCGTTCTGGATTATCGTTACATTAACTCTCTGGCTGCTGTGTGCAAAGTGCTTCCGGTAAAATATCTCTTATATATAGAATATGAATCAGCACTTAGACTTAAACAGACTTTATTGTCATTTTAAGAAAAAAAATTATTTTCGCTCGGTACAGCTCCCAAGACATTTCTATTTTTAAAGTGCAGCAGTGATAAAATATAAACATAAGATTGGTATATTATTTACAGATTCCAACATTCAGCGCTTTTTTCTTCTTCTTTTAAACCCCATTTTTGCATCTGTGATACATTTAGACTTGAAAGTTTTGAGATTATGGTCTAAAAAAAATAGTTGTTTTCTTTCATTCTGTAAATAATTTAGTTATTAAAATGTTTTATATTTTTTTTAATGGAGGCCAGTGTCACTGTTGACTGTTTGTTTTTGTTTTTAATGTATTCCATCGTCTAATAAAGCTGTACTTCAGAAGCTAACCATGTATTTCAGATCCTGGAGGCGCTCATGGACATCATGCAGGTCCTCCGAGACATCTGCAAAAATCCAGATTCTCACGATAAAGGTGCCAACATAAAAAACTTGCATGTCGAATCAATATTTTAGCTGCTACCTCTAGATTCTGATATATTTTGTGCTCGATTCCACTTGCAGAATACCTGTGCAGGTACGCTGTACCCAGCCTGCTCGGTGTAGCCAGGGCATTCGGCCGATACAGTAACACTGACGAGCCGCTGCTGTCTAAGCTGTTCCCCCGACCTGCTGCTCCTTTGCTGTCCACTGCGGATGGAGGCGATGCTGCCCGCCGGCGCTCTTTCAACGAGTTCCGTTCAATCCTACCGAGCTCTCTGCTCACAGTGTGTCAGGGAGACTCCCTGAAGCGTAAAGGCTCCTCCGTGTCCAGCGTTTCACAGCAGGTATAACAGACCGGGAGCAGAATAAGGCAAGGCACCTGGGAGCTGCTAATTAAGATTGGATCCATTTTTTTTCTTTTTAGGCAAGTCCGGAGAGAACAGGGCTGACACCTAGTTCTCCTGCTGATCCCTCTGCGCAGTACTTTGAAGGTAATTTCCTCACACTAAAACCTCACATTTTAATGTATTTTCCATTATTTTGTTAATAGACAAACGCAATACAGAGTAAAACTGAACACGGCAAAGAAAGGGATTAAAAATTAGGAAAATTTACTTCAAATGAATCCAGTGGCTCTTATTTCAAACAGCTAAACTACATGAAAATCTATTGGAATTCATGTTTTTCCCCTTAAAATAATGTAATAAGGTAATTAGACATTATGGACTTGTAAGGAAACAAAGAAGTTGTTTTTTTCTTATTAAAACACTTATTAAATCGACTTATTAAACATAAAATATCTTATTCCTTTAGCAAATTTCTCACTCAACTCCTAAATTCAAGGGAAAATACACTTATTTAATGAAAAATCTTGCCTATAAATCAAGCGAACACATGCTTTTAAAAAAGTGTGGTGTGCTTATTTATTGCAGCTATTTTTATCTGTTATCCTTAAACAAAACCAAGTTAATCTTTTTTCCTTCAGAAGTCTGTTATAAAGCTAACATAGTCCACCTCGATGTATACTTATCTGTATAAATCCAGCTTTTCTGTGACGTCTTCAGATGTTTCCATGGCGACTGGCCTCACGAGCCACCGGGAAACGCTGAAGGTCGGGGTGGAAGTTGTGGTGAAGCTTGACAAAATGTTTGGTCACAAAAATAGACCAAAAGCTGCACAGTATCTCATTCTGAAGCATGGTGGTGGGAGTATCATGCTGTGGGAATGTGGCTTTTTCTTCTTAACAGGGACAGGGAAGCTGGTCAGAGTAGATGATGAGATAGTTGGTGCTAAAAAAAAAGGTTGTTCCTGGTAGAAAAGATGTTAGAGACTTCAAAAGACAACGGCAAGATATAATCCCAAACTATCCCCAAGTTTAATCTATGACAAACATTCCCCTAAAGAATCACAGCTGCAATTTCAACTAAAGGTGGTTCTAAATAGGATAAATGTGCATCTTAGCCTTTTAGAATATAAATACGAAAGAATCCCTCCAATATTTTCCCTTTACATCACAATAATGAGTTACTATGTTGCAGTCAATCACATCAATAAAATACCTTGATTTTCATGGCTTTAACATGCAAAAATATGAAATAAGTCCCTGAGGTTTGAATGCTTTTGTAAATTAAATTGAATACTTGTTTAAAGAAATAGCTTCTGATCCTATCAGCCACTTTTGTTGCCGTCCTTTCAAAAAAAATCTCTGATGGCTGTGATTTTCCGTTCTGCCTCAGGTTCTTACCTCCCTGACGGCAGCGCGGTGGACCCGGATTACTACTTCTCCACCATCAGCTCCAGCTTCTCCGTGTCTCCGCTCTTCACCGGGAGCAGCGCCGGAGAGTTCCAGGTCCCTATGGATATGCTCAGACTGCTCCTTCAAATGGTTGGTGCCTAATATAATAATTAACACACTGCAAAAAATTTAAATCTCAAAAAGTCTTTTGTTTCTTAAAATAAGTGCATTTTTCTTTAATTTGGGAGGTAAGTGAGAAAGTTTGCCAATGGAAGAAGACAATTTACTTTTGAAATAAGAAAAAAACAATTTTATTGTCTTATTTCAAGTGAATATTATCTAATTTTTTTTTTATTTCAAGAGTTAAAAAATACTCATTCTATTGGCAAATCTGATTTTAACTATTCAAATTAAGGCTAAATACACCTAAATTAAGAATTCTTTACTTCTTTCTAGATCGTTTTTGCAGTGCAATTCCTTTTACACTGGAAAAATGATCTAGAAATAAGTAAAAATTTCTTAAATTAAGTGTATTTACCCTAAATTTAAGTAGGTAAATGAGATAGTTTGCCAATCGAATGAGTATTTTCACTCTTAGAATAAGATAATTAGAAAACATGCGCTTGAAATAAGACGATACAATTGTACTTTCTTATTTTAAATGTAAATTGTCTCATTCCATTGGCAAAATGTCTCACTTTCCTCCTCCATAAAAAAAAAAATGACACTTATTTTAAGAAAAATTAACTTATGTAGATTGAAATGTTTTGCAGCGTAGCATTCATCCTAGTGAAATTCAAAGTCTCTTTAAAAAGCATCACGGTGACGATGAACTGAAATGTTAATCTAAACTGTTGCTTGTCTTGAACAGGTTGAGCAGTTTGTTTCTGAGTCATTTCTAAAGTCCCTGGATGGAACCTTAGCAGAACTTCAAGAGGTAGGACTCCACATGGCTCTGTTCTTCTTTTATTCAAATACATGTAATTATTATGATTTAATTAAATCTTTATTTAACCAGGAAAGTCATCTTTGAAAATATTCTATTGAAAGGGAGGCCTGGCAAAGAAAAGCTCAACTATTACATATAAAACATTCACTGCTCACAAAATTAAAAGGAACATTCAAAAATCCACCCTAGATCTCAATGAATCTAATATTCTGAGTGAAAAACTTTATCATAAACAAAGTGGAATTGATAAAGAAGAAAATGAATCAAAATCATCAATCTAAATCAGAATTATTACACCATAAAGATCTGGATTCGGATTTATAGTCGATAAAAAGACGTTTTGGTCAGAGAGCAAGTGAAGCTCACAAAATTGCTTGTTTCTCTTTTGTGTTTTCATTTCCCAAAAAGTGGATTTCAACAAGACCCCCAGTTACTCACTGTGATGGGTTAAATTCTTGCAGTTTGTTACAAATCTAAAGGTGATTAACTCAATCTTATGAATCACTGGACAGAGGGTCACCATAATCCAACACTGGCTTTTTTATTTTGAAGTAGAAGTCTGGACAGGAAGGAATAACCAATGGATCGTTATTTATACCTACAACCAATACGTTTGTCGTGATTTCATGAAGTTAGTGTTGATCAGTAAAAAATTAAAAACAATATTTTTCGTTGCGATCACCGAGTCTGGGAGCGGCCATTTTTGCCAAATATAGTAACACCTCACTCCTGCCATCTTCCAGCAGTGATGTCACGGTGCGGTTAGCCTAGCGCCATTCTCCCCGCTTTACAATCAGAATCAATGGGAACTACTAGACACATCTGCAATCAACAACAATTATTGAAGATTTCCAGAGGACTTCAGCATTGAAATTCACCAGAGCTATAGTGAAACTGACAATGCCCATGTGCATGGTAGCTGGATGTTGGAATACATCAAGTAAAAGTGGGAAAAAAATGAATTATTTCACTTTTGCGATTCATGATCCTCCACGTGCGGGTTCGTTGTTAGATTGCCAACTTGAAGAGGAAGGATTTGCCATCGAACTTCTAGCCAGAGAAAAAACACGTTATTAATCCGTTACTCTCTGCTTCGCTTGGTGCAATGGTCATCACCCTTGGATAATAATGCGTTGTGACAAACAACAGATACAGCACTGGGACTTGCTTAACAACCGGTACCGCACCGTGACATCACAAACCAGTAGGTGGCAGTAGTGTTCTTTGACAAACATGGATGCCTCCAGTAAAGCACATTCAAATTAAATTACTCTTAATTAAAAACACCTATTATTTA